CACATTTCTCTAGCCTCAAGTCTATTCTTCATCATTGACCAGTATTCATTATCATATAGGTTACTCATTGTTTTTCTTTGACCCTCTTGCCTTCAATACATCCTGTAAATATCACATTTTCTAAAACATCTTTCCTCATCATGTGCTTTAGAAATTTCAACTCTCTCCTCCTGATGATAAGTGTAAGTGTTCTTTTTGCTTCCATTTTCTCTAAAACCTTGTTCTTGCTCACATGGTATTCTCAGCATCCTTCTGTAGAATCACATTTCTCTAGCCTCAAGTCTATTCTTCATCATTGACCAGTATTCATTATCATATAGGTTACTCTTGCCTTCAATACATCCTGTAAATATCACATTTTCCAAAACATCTTTCCTCATCATGTGCTTTAGAAATTTCAACTCTCTCCTCCTGATGATAAGTGTAAGTGTTCTTTTTGCTACCATTTTCTCTAAAACTTTGTTGTTGCTCACATGGTATTCTCAGCATCCTTCAATACATCCTGTAAATATCACATTTTCCAAAACATCTTTCCTCATCATGTGCTTTAGAAATTTCAACTCTCTCCTCCTGATGATAAGTGTAAGTGTTCTTTTTGCTACCATTTTCTCTAAAACTTTGTTGTTGCTCACATGGTATTCTCAGCATCCTTCTGTGGAATCACATTTCTCTAGCCTCAAGTCTATTCTTCATCATTGACCAGTATTCATTATCATATAGGTTACTCATTGTTTTTCTTTGACCCTCTTGCCTTCAATACATCCTGTAAATATCACATTTTCCAAAACATCTTTCCTCATCATGTGCTTTAGAAATTTCAACTCTCTCCTCCTGATGATAAGTGTAAGTGTTCTTATTGCTACCATTTTCTCTAAAACTTTGTCATTGGTCACATGTTTATCATAGTCCATGGTATTTTTAGCATCCTTCTGTAGAAACACATTTCTGTTGCTTCAAGTCTCTTTTCATCTTTGAGAAGATTGTCCAGCATTTATTGCCAAAAAGGAGAACTGGTATTACATAACTGTTCAGTATTTTTCTGTTTCTTAATACTTTACTTACCTTTTGGAAGGCATATTTCACTATCCCAATGGGCCTTCAGATTTCAGTGCCACATTTCCTGTCCTCTGTTAAAACACTCTATAGATATTTAAATTCTTCTGTTTTTTAGATTTTGGTATCTCCAATTTGTGATTTGCATATTAGGCTGTTCCTTAGCTATTGTAAATTTATGTAGTGTTAGCTCTGCATACATTCTGCAGGATGTGTAAATTTGGATAAACACGTTGATTTTCTTTCATTAAACTAGTTTTTTTTTAAGCTAAAACAGGTTTGCTTCATTGTAGCAGAAAAACATGTCAAAGAAAAGATCAAACACAGACAAAATAATTACAGGTCGAAATCTTTTTTTTTTGTTTTTATAGTTTTATATGAAATAACAATCTCCTCACTGAAGATGACTTAGAATGAAATCATTTATTAATCATCATCCCCTTTACATTTATAATCATCGAGGGGATTTGAATGCAGAAGCCATATTGAATTTCCTCCACAACATTCTATTAACAGCAGCCATTAGTAATTCTGGTGTAGTCATACTTTTCCATTGTTTGATATTGTCTAACAAGGTTTTGTGTTGGTGTCCTCTTCTGCATTTACTTTTAATAGTGTCTTGCAAGATGATCTTGCACAGACTGTTGTGCCTTGTAATGTGTCTAAACTACATCATTTTTCTTTTTTGACAGTGTTGAGACTGTTCTTGCTAACTCACAGAACTTTCGACACATTAATACACATAAATTTATAATTACTGTTTGTAATCAAAGTCATCTTTTGAAACATTTTGTTTTCAAGTCTCTTGATTTTTCTTGGGTTGGTAATACTCTTTGTAGGTTAGTATTGTATGAATGCTTGTATTTTTTGGTGCTATATTATCTTTGTTCTCAGGAATCTTTTCTGTGTGGCATCCAGCAAGGAATAGGTGACTCCTCACAATTCGTTCAAATTCTAAACTTTCATGGACTCTCTTCTAAGGGTGGTGATTGGTTCATCTTAGCCAATCAACATCTTTGCTCCATATCTGTCTAGCTGGTGTCAACATTCATAAAATGTTCTTGTTCCTATGCTTTAGCAGTTGCTGGATCTAACCAACACCTTTATCAAGATAAAGGCGTTGGTTAGATCCAGTGACAGGACCCAAAGAGTGTGAGTTCAATACCCAATTAAGGCAGTGGAGAACTTTCAGAGGGAAATTAACAGGAGATAACTGATAACTGACATCCATCAAACATGGCACATGGAACTAGAACAGTCTACCCTAGTGAGTGAAATAAAGGGTTCAGTTCAAAATTCCAACCTCCTGAAGAAGGCCGAAGCATGCAATGGCCGAAACATTGTGATAAATATGGCGACAAAGATGAGGACGTTAGTCCAAATAATGTGAATAATGTTATAATTTTTTATTAATCTTTCTTTCTCTAATTTATCAATTTTAGTTATGAATTTTAACTGTTTTAACTTATTTTATTTTATTAGTAGTCATATTAGTATTATTTCCTTTAGACTAAAATAAAGAGAAAGTCACGTCATATTATTTTGAAATAAGAGTGTCTGCTATCCTGATATAAAGCTGATCTGAATAAATACAAGCTTATCCAAGTAATTAGATCCTTAGCCATGGCGTTCTTTATTAAATGCCAATTCATAGAGCAATAGCCCAGAGGGCTATCTCAAATCTTGTTCCACTAGGAGAAAAGATTTTTAGATTCAGTTTGGGTTTACGGTAGTTTGCTGTCATAGTTAACTTAAGAAATGTTTGCATTTTATATTTGGAATAACTTCAGCTTACTTAAAAATGTAAGATTTATTACATTCAAACTTGGCATTTTATTTGCAGAACAAAATTTTTGTGTGAAATTCTCTGAAAAATGTAATTCAGGAAACTTAATTTTGTTACTTTGAAGTTAATTTAACATTTTTCATTTAAAGTTAATTTAATATTTTTCACCATTAAATTTTTCTTCATAAAACCAAATCCAGCAATGATCAACTTCATTTTTTTTTTTGCATAATCTTTATTTCTGTTCCTAACAAATGAAAAAAGTATGTTGAATTTTTACACGTCTTATAAAAGAATGTAACATTTTAATTTTACTTGATTTAAAGAAATAATTTATTAATTCTGTTTATATTGTTCAGACTGTTGTCCTCATCTTTGTTACCATATTCACAAAGTTCTGGCCATTGTATACTCCGGCCTTCTTCAGGTAATTGGGATATCAAACTAAACCCTTTATTTCATCCACTGGAGTAGATTGTTCTAGTTCCACGTGCCATGCCTCTTCCGGGTGGCTCACTATAAGTTATTTTCCTTTAACTTCAGATCGAAAATCCAATCATCTGAAGAAGGCCTAAGTGTACGAGGAACGAAACATTATGAATGTGGCAACAAAGATGAAGAGAACAATCCAAGCAATGTAACTAGTATAAATAATCATGCTACCTCAACTCAGAAATATAAACAGATAGAAAGTAACTTTAGCTTATTTAATTGAAGGAAGTGTAAGATTTATTTATTTATTTTCTTCAGACTTGCTATATTATTTGATGTTTTCATCGCAAAAACAATTATTTATTGTGTGAAATTCTCTAAAAAAATGTAATTCAGGAAACTTAGTTTTGTTACTTGTTGTTTAACATTTTTTGTTTAAAGTTAATTTAATATTTTTCTCCATTAAATTTTTATTCATAAAACCAAAATCAGTAATGATCAACTTCATTTATTTTTGAATAATCTTTATTTCTGTTCCTAACAAATGAAAAAGGATGTTGAATTTTTACACTATTGTAACATTTTAATTTTACTTGATTTAAAGAAATAATTTATTAATCCTATTTTCCTAGTATTTTTGATTACACATGTTACAAAGTCTCTCTCAAGAATTTGTTAATTTTAATAATGTTTTATATTTAATTTTTAACAAACTTTTCTTCCAAAGACTTTTTTCTTTGATTCTGCAAAATTTATTTAAAAATTCTCTTATTTATTACATAAAATTAATTTAATATTTCTCTCTATGATATTGCTATTCATAACAACAAATATATTGATGAGATTTAATTTTTTATGAGTTATTTGTGTTTTTCTTTCTAAAAGGTATTTAAAAAAGGAAACTGAATTTTAGTTTGGTCTAACTTTTAAAAAAAATATAAGAACAGGATATTTATATGACAAAATTAATGAAAAATAATTGAAGAATATTGTTATGCAAAATTAATATAATTAAATTTGATAAATTTAATTTGATATTTTTAGATATCATAAACAAATTATATATATATATATATATTTATTATATATATATATATATATATATATATATATATAAAAACTAAACTATTCATTTTAAAGAGTATGTCAAATTTTTACCACATATTCAACTTGCTCAAACCTGCCCCATAATTCTTGGTTCTGAATGTTGAATCTACTGTAAACTACTACATATATACTCTGCCATAATATATGATGACATTCCTGCAAATATCACAGGAAATCATTCAAACACTGAAACTCTGACCATGTGGTATTTCTGCCATCACTTCTATGTTCAGTTAGCAAAGAAAAGTTTTAAAACCTTTTTGAATCTTGTTTTGATGATGAGAAATCAAGCATCACAACAAAATGGAGTCTAATGACTCAGAGTGCTCATTTGAAGGATATACAGCCCAGGTTGTTCTAGAATTTGAGGAAAATGTAGCAGAAATGCAAGATGAATCAGATATCAACATTTCTG